CTTTGACCCTAGCATCCTCCTTGGAGTGTTAATAAAATAATCAAAACAGTCCCCCTAAGTCATATATATACACATTCAGCAAGTCATATATAGTAGTGAAATGTGTTCACTCCACTAATAATAAAATGATTAACCATGCAGGTGTATCTGTTTACAGAATGCAGGATTATGAAGGCGTCAAAAGATTTTTAAAGAGTTTATTTAGTTTGAAATATATGAAATTGTATATGGAGTATAATCACAGCTACACAAAATCTAAAACTACAAGATACAAATAAATCTTAAAATTCATTAAAAATGGAAGAAGAAAATATACCAGAATATTTGCACTGGTTGTTTTGAGTGGTGGGACTGTGGGTTTGTTTTTCTTTTTCTCCCCAAGTTTAAATGCTAAGCATGCATTCATTTGAAGTTTCTAAAAAAACAGCAATACATTTTGTCTAAAAGGAAATGATTCAGCAACCATTTCTTTTCTTTTTAGTTTATTATAACTATTTTAAAAAGTTTTATTTTATCATTTGTACATTGACTTACATGTGTATACATTATTTGGGCCACAGCAGTCATTTCTAAGAGAAACAATCCCTCAAGTCAATGATGAAACTTCTTTTTTTTCATGAAGCAATCTCACAAATCATGCTTAAAGATTTTGAAGACGAAGCTACATTCAGGTAAATTCTTCTTGGGATCGGTAGAGAAGTCTAAAGAACTCCGTAAATAGGAAATAAAGCAAGGGAAGGATGGGGTGAGGGGAGAGAGAGGGCACAAATGCCAAGGGAGTGTAGGGCATGGGATCCACAGATGGCCTCAGAGAGGGGAAATTATAGAACAAGGTCACACAAGAAGCCATGGTCTCAGGTTCCATGGCTTCCTCACTGGTGACAAGTGACAGTAACATTGACTTAACTACATGAAGATAGCATTTCAGGTAAGCACGTGGCACAAAGCATTGGTTAGCACCCAGGAAATGGAACTTTGTAAAAGTAGATTTTCTCCTCCTGGGTGTCCAACACCAACCAAATGAGACACAGTCACAATTCCGGTCAAAGGACAGCCCCCAGTGAACCTCAAATAAACTCAAGGAAGCCAGAGTTAGAGGCAGAGTCTCTCTCATCAAAATGAGTAACTCAGAGCCTCTATTTGCACAACTAGAAGTGGCTTTTACTGCCTCACACCTAGGATGCCAATGAGGAAGGGGCTGGCCTGGAAAGAGACCAGTCAGAAGCAAGTCATTCTTTCTGATTTCATAAAAGCAGCTGCTGCGGCCAGTTGAGGAATCCTACCTAGTGGGGTAAACACCCGAGCCAGTATGAACCCAAGAGATTTGGGGGGTTCACTTAAGTCTTGGCACCACATCCAAAGGCGGTCAACGTAGTGCCCCGACTGGTGATTGGACAGGAAGTGAAGCAGGATACCCACTGGTGGAAAAATGCAGCAAAGATGAAGTACTTTGGCTAGGCTGATATTTTCCTTCCAAACCCTCTCTCTGTAGACTCACTCTGAATTTCCACGCTAATTAATATTGTGAACTCCATCCTGTGGGAAAATGAAAGACAAATGCTTCTACTTTAAATAAGGAGGCTGGCTGCTTGGGAATATAGGTTGTGACAATAAAATGTTCAAATAAGGTTGGAAAATGTAAATGGCACACCCAGTGTTGACAAGGCTGTAAACAAACAGAGGCAAGCGTGAGGGGCAGTTTTAGCCTTGCAGCCTGGAGCCAGACAGAGGTCTTGAACCTCTAGCAAGTGTGTACTGGGAAGGCAAATTCAAAGGAGAAAAAAAGCTGTGTGCACAGAGATGCTGACTGAGCCATTGCTCCTAACAGCCGACACTACAAATAACCTAAATGTTGCACAGTAGGAGAATGGTTTACAAGTGATGGCCCACCACCAAAAGATACACTGGGCATCCTAATACAATTGAAAATTTTTGAGAAATAAGATGATTTGGGGTCAGAGGAAGAGAAATAAAGGGGGGAGGGACTTGAAACACAGTAAGAAGTAATGAAATTGCTGTGTTACACTACGGTGGGAATATGAGTCTTCTTCCTTTTCTCTATAAAAATGACATTTCTATTGCTACATCATTTCATCAATAGACAAAATTTAGAAGTTTCTTCATTGGTCACGTGGATCGTATTTCATGCTATTTAGTATTCTACAGTGACTTCAACCAAACTAGTTTGGCTATGTTGGAAGGCACAAAAAAGTTAATACACACAGCAGATATTGCTACTTTTAGATGCTTTTTTTAAAATGTAAACTTCTAAAAATGGTACCTGCTGGTGACCAGAATGGGCAGCAATTTTGCAAACCAAGGCTTTCTGGCCTAGCATTGACCTCGATGAAAGTAATCATTCCTACTCCATTGAAGTTCAAAACAAAACCACCCATCACCCCATTTTAAAGAGCAAAACCACAAGCCACAGGCTTCAGCCATTGCCAGGAGATGCTTTAATGTCTTGTTTCCAATTGATAAACTGTAGCAAGGTCTCTCTTATTCAGGCATGAAAGTGGAAACTGGATGACTTTTGGGTTTAAAGAAACAAGAGCAGGTAATGCAAGAAAATGACTGTAGAGGACCTTGCTCACTCTCCCATCTTGGGTGTATTCTGTGGCATTGAGTCCAACAGAAGCTGAGCTCAGACAGGCAAGGCTGGGCACAGACATACTTATAAACAGAAGAGAGGGTCTGTTGGGGCATGCAGGTGGGGCTGAAACCAATATTGCTAGAGAAATGAGTCTTCCTCCTCTTCAAAAATGATTTGTAAAGCTTATGCCAGGCATTTGTCACAGGAAGAGACACAAACCCTGGTTTGGGTGAGAAAACCAGCTGGTCTTCTTTGGGAATAATCCATGCCTTGTATGAATTTAATGTGCACCTACTGCTGGTCTCTAGGTCATCCATAAAGAGTGGCTTGACGTGAAGGCATGTGGATTTGGACGCAGACAGAGCTGGCTTCAAATTCTGACTCTGCCACTCTCCAGTTATGTGGCTGGGGAGAGTTTCATCCTCTGAGCATACCATGAAAAGACGGGTGTGATTTGGCCTCTATCCAAATGGAACCCTCTCAATATGTGGTACTGGCAATGAATAGTGGTAATGCTAGGGTAGGGCTGCTTTTATATTAAGTGCATACTTCATATGTGCATACATAGGGATATACACACATATATCATGTATATATCATGACAAATGGTGAGGAATAGTGTCAGTTTTAGATAAACTAAAATAGAAGTCTGCTACTCACTTGCTCCCTTGTCCAGAAATTCCCTGGAGAATTAACCAACCAAGTGATAGTAATAAGCCTGACAGGGAAAAATGGCCTATGGGGATTGTCAGATTGAGTGAGTTCAGGAAGAAATGGCAGAGGGGAAGATATTGTTCTGGGGCCTCTGTTCTCTTCCTGGAGAACTTTTGATAAAGCTGATTAGGACCTTCTGCATCACGAGGACTCCTGTAAACCCAAGATTTAAATTCCCTTAGAGCAGGAATTTTGGTGGGGAATGAGGGTTACCCTACATTGAATTTCCATGTGTAAGTTGAACGAGTCAATGAATGAATGTATGAAGCTCTGGTCTACATGACTTGAGGATTTTTTTTGTTTTTGCAGTGCTGGGACTTGAACTCGAGGCCTCATGCTTGCCCCTTGTATTATTCTTGCATTTCTATGGGTGTCCTGGGGAGTATGGGCTAGCTCTCCTGGGGTTGGATAGTCTGAGATGACCATACTGGCAGGTCTAATGGCTAGCTCGATGGTGTGTTCCTTATGACTCAGCAGGCCAGCCCAGGCTCGTGCACATGGTGGGTTTACTAGGGGCATCAGAAAAGGGCAAGTCCCAATGCACAAGCCAAAGGGTGACAATTCATGCCAGGGTCACTCAAGGTGTGGACACCAAGAGGAGAGTTAGGCTGGCCACTTATGCAGACAATCTACCTCCGATGCATTGGAGCATTTGAACCAGAAGTGATGTTATCGGATTCATGCTTGTAATGGCTCTAGAATTATATTGATTTTTTCAGTAGATGGGATGCTTCAGCCAGGCCCTGGGCACCTGGACAGCAATGGTGTTTGACTAGACTGTACCCAGGGGCAGAGGCCCAGGGATTCATGGTGCTGCCTGGCCTGAAGCTGCGTTTATCGGGAGGAGGAGCAATGGCACTTAACCCTTCATGGTCTTTCAGCAAAACCATTCTCTCCATCATGTCAGAGTGAACCTTCCCACTTCCAGAATGTTTGTTGAATCAATTAATGAATGTATGAAGGCTTGGTCACTATGTCTTAGAGAGTTAATAAAGGGAATCCTTGTGTCCCCTGGCCTAGAAACCATGACACAAACCATGGAAAAGGGCAAGTGGTGAAGAGATACTCACTAATTGCTAAGGGCTGATACTCACAGGGGAGCAAACCACTGAGGACTGAAATAATCTGTAAGTACTTTTTAAAAAAGTCTTGAGGTGAACTTATACAACAGTCATTTTTCTTTTTTCTTTCTTTCTCTAACAGAAAATATGCTGGCATGCTAATTGCGTGAGACAACTTGGCCCACAGACAGCCACAAAGCACAAAAACAAAAACACAAACTCAGAGAAGAATCAAGAATAGTGTTTTCCTGGCGTCTAGAAGAAGCGCTTTATTTTTTCCTCTAGATTTCTTTTCTAAAAAATGAAAATAAAGAACAAAAAAACTGAAAGAAACATTTAAAGAAACCATACAAACTTCAGGCGATCATAGTCAAGCATGTTCTTTTATTAAACATAGGATGGGAAAAAGGAGGAAGTTTGGCTTTGCTAACGCAGGTGGACTAGAGGCTGTGAGACTTGGCCAGTGGGGTCTTCGTGTGAGTGAAGAATCCTACTTTTTATGCCCCACCCTGACAATATCCCATGTGCCCGAAGGGACATGATACTTACTTTCTTGCCCACCTCGGTATCTAGGGAATGATTTGCAAAATGTTTTGTTAGAATCTCTAAAGGATTGTTCGTGTAGTCTTGGCAAGGGGGTCAATGGCCAGCGCTCTGGCACCCACCAAACCTCTCCACACCACTCCACCTCTGGGTGTCACTGCTATCTTGGTGGAGTGGAATGGGTTCGACGAGTCTCTCCCAGGAGTCGCCAAGCCTGCTCAGAGTTTATTGGGATGAATGAATCAATGACCTTCTGGATCAAGGCAGCAAGGAAGGTAACAACTTGCCTTTTGTTTTTCCCTCTTAAATGGGAGGCCAGCCTGTGATGGCAATGGCGGTACTTGGTGAGCCAAGGGGGCAACGGGCTATTCTAAGAGTGAGAAAAACTGGCTTCTTGTGCTTCTACAATGAGGGAAGGAACCCACATACCAACTGAGCTTCTAATTTTAAGCAGGCCACCACCAGAAAGCAAAAGGACCTATGCCTAACCTAGCCCCGGAAAAGTGGCATTGCCCCTTAAGAACTACAATTCCCTGCTCCCCATTGTACTTGACATTTTTCAATTTGTTGCAACTGCTCTTACTTCCTTGACTCTTTTGGATCTGCAGTGGACAGAAGTGGACACCTGAGGGTGGTAAGGTCGGCAGGGGTCCAACGTTGGCAGTGGTGATCACTGGCGCACACACAGGTGCACCCATCCTTGCGTGGCTCCTGCTAGTCGGACGGGCTGCCCAGTCGTTCTTGGATCAGCCTGTCACTGAGTGCCCACAGGGCCCGGGCCACCTCTTCACTCTGAGCTTCGGGGGAGGGCAGGCAGCGGCAGCAATTGTTGAAATACATCCCTCCCAGGCCTTCCAGCTCTGGAGCGGCAGCACAGTACACAGTGGTGGCAGCCCCCTGTTGCTGGAAATGAGAGAGAAAAGAAAAGGATTGAAGAAAACGGGTGATAAGATGATGCCATTCTGACCATGTAGAAATTAACACGCCTCCCCTACCCAACTCAGCATGGCAAAGGATACCGAACGCCAAGCACATTACTGTGAAAAGTACAATGTGACCATCCTGGAAATGCAAGTTCATAAACTCGCCTTACAAAGCCAGTGTGACATTTTACACCTCATACAGGAAAAGCCTTGGAACATAAAGACACATATTAATACATCACATCAGGCGCTTCTTCCACACAGAGAAAACGATGGTCAGTGTGTAATGTAATTTGACGCCAAGCTCTTTCTAGAACCTTCTGTCTGAATTAAACCCATTAATTATGGCCCATCAGATAGAAAACCCAAGTGAAGCTGGTGCCAGACCTTTCGTTTATTCTTTGCCCACCATGCTGCAATGGGAAGAGTTTGCAATGCTATTAAAACATTTAAAACACACACACAGAGTCCTCATACATACCTACACACACTTACTAATTCATCCAGAAAACCTTTTCTATTTGCCCCACATTTACAGTGCAATAGAGGCTAAGGGGGGCACACTTCCTTCCAGCCCCCTACAAAATGCAAGTTGGCATTCATCACTGGCATCCACTTTTGGAGTAGCAGTTGGGGCTGTGGCTAGGGATGCGTGCAGTTATGGGGCACCATGTCATCCAGACTGACAGAAGATTGCCAGGGATGCTGTAAAGAGGGCAAGAAATCACTTGGCTTTGCAAGCCATAATTAAAAATAATAGGCTGCTCTTCATAGGGACACCCGATACGCACGGCTCTAATTTAAAACCAATACAGTTCGTCTGGCATCTTATGATTATTTATGTGCATCACAGCTCCTGCCGCACCAACTAATTATCAGCTGGTGGTGAGGAGTGGGGGTGCAAAAGAGGACCGACCCAGAAAGGTAACTGCAGATAAGGTTGCCTTTAGGAATACATGAAAGCTGTATGATTGTGGGGGAAATGGGTTCCTATCCCCACCAGACTTTAAATTGAGTCAGAAGAGAGTATTTCAGGGAAAAGCATCTCTCTAAATGGTTTGGTTTCCACTCATTTTGATTGTATTCTACAAACACCGGGAGCCAGGATCCCAAGGTGTTATGGAAAGTGCTATAAACCGACTTGGGCTTTGTTCTGTTTTGGCTTCAGTGTCAAGGTCTGTGGTCACACTTATATTGGTCTGAAAAGGAAACAGTCAGATATAGCCAGGTGCCATGGCTTGGGAGGGGTGGGGAGTGCCAGTGAGACAAAGACATGAGTTTTGATACCTAGCTGCTTGACTCCACTGGAAACTCCCATTGGTCCAAAATTTGAACAACTGACACAATTTTGACTTAATTAAAGAGCATGGGTTTGTTACCTCCCCAGACCACTTAGACACGCCCACTCTCCAAATAACCCACTTAATATCTTGGATTCAGTGGTTGCCTTCCCATTTGATTTGTGTGGCTCAAGTCTAATGGAAATGAGTTCCTGTCATCCAGCTTCCCTTTCCCTGAGTTATTATTCCTAATAACCCTTAGCTTAGCACCTGGCACATTCATCCAAAGACATGGGAGGAGTGGTTTAGCTGACTCTTCTGCATCCCATGCGGGAAAAGGGGAAGCAAAGAGCCTCTGAAGACAAAGTGTAGAACTAAGATGCTCATCCCACTAGCTCAAGCCAAATAGCATCTTGGCCTGGGTTCTTCCAGTGCTCCAGTGGTGACAGTGCTGTGCATAAATTTTGGGCTATCTGTCCTGGATTTCCATTTTTCTTTGCAACTGCCAAATGCACTAGAGGGTGGTCAGGTGACTTGCCATTGACTCCTAAGTGTTGGGTAAGAGAATTCAGTCAGTTCCTCTCACAGCCCAGTTCTCCCCTCCCCAATCTGCCCCTCCACACACACACTCAGCCTGGGAGTGGTTAGAATATCAGCATTCATGTATTGTGACATACTGGCCTTTCACAGTTCCACCAATCCTGAGACAAGAACAAGGGATAAGCAGAAAGCAGAATTCTTCCAAGCCCAATGTAGTATTTTTGCTACTATGACCTTCTAAAATGATATCCTGATGCACTCCTGCATTGTTGGAAACTCTGGAGTCATAATGATTGGGAATCAATCGATGGGGAAGTTGGGGGGAGCTGGTGTCATGCATTTTCCCTCTGTGGAATCTGCATGCACTTACAATTGGCCTAATTTCACATAAACCTACCTTTGGCTACCTTACTGAAAACTAAACATGTTAGAAAAGCCTAACGTTTTATCAGGAGCTTTGATTCCTTGCCAGTAGGCTTGGGGTGGTATCTCATCTAAATTGCACTGTCACTCGCTCTGGCTTTGTAGAAGAACAGTACAGGAGAGGTACAAAGTCCACCTTCACCACTACAAAGGTCAATTGAGCACTTTTGGCAAAGTCTCCCTGCTTGCTTTATATTTGGTTTGATTGGTACTTGCTTTATTTTTTTGCCTTGCTGGACAATTAAGAAGTGACAATGTCTTTTTGGTCCTACTAGCCCTCAGGCTTCTTGGGGAATTCTCTTTTCAGCTGTTCCAGTGGCAACCTCTGAGTGACATCTTTATTGGGACGACAGCTTAATAACAAGTGCTTATTTTTTTTGGCTCATCAGCTTTTTGGTCGGCATATCATCAGCACGAGACTGGATCACATTAGCAAAATCTCATTAGTAAACAAACAGGTACTGCTGATACAAGATGAAACGTTTTTAAACTGATAAAAAAATTTAAAGAGCACTTTAATCATCATCAAATGACTTTCGTGCCACTTTTTGGGGGGCATCAGAACATAATTCAGAAAAGATGAAAGAGCCATCGAAAGGAAGCACTGTTAACGACTCTGGTCTTAAGTATTTAAAGGCAGTATTTGCCAGTTGTCACTGTTTCTTACAAATCTGCCATGATAAAATAATAACGCCTTGACATATAGACACTGGCTGGAGCTGTGAGTTCCCTGAAATGAGTTTTTGAACAATTTATCAGGTTGCATGCTGTTACTATTCCCAGCAACCTCGGAGAAACAGCCTATCCACACCAGAGCCAAGGCCATGACTTAGGGTGCTGACGACACAGGACTAAGAAGTTCTGGAAAGCCCAGTAGAACCTTTAATCATTCCCAAATGCCATTTCTGATCTAGCCAAACATTTGTGAACGGCCAGAAGAAAACTGTGCCATCAGTCTTTATACTGTATGTAAAATTACCCAGGATTCTTGTTTGGGATTAAGCAAAGAACATCTTGGTATCACCATTCTCTTTCTAAAATCACTTGTCAGATTTGCAGGAAATCTTCAGTCTCAGAAAGGTAGGATTTAAGAAGCAGTTGCTGTTTATAGTTGAGGCTTCAAGATGTAAGTTACCCATCCTTCCAGTCCTCCTAGTTGGGATGAAAATGTTAAGCAGCTGCTTTTTATCAACATTTACTTGATAATTTGATGGCTACATCAATTTGTAGTCATCAGCACAGACTGCAAATGAATATTGACTCCTTTAAAGGAAAAGGTGCAGAGGTTTCTGGTAAACAATACATGATTTAAGAAAAAAATCCCACATATTGATATCTGTAATGCATTGGTTTGTACTCTGATATACTTATATTCTTATAACGACACATGTTACACAATTAATGTTTAGTTTTTAGGTTTCTCTACTTTAATATGCATGCTTATTTAAAAGAAAGAATAGATTTCTGTCTTAAAGTGGATGTAATGATAAGATGCATTTAAAAATAGGCACAGTATCACAGCATAACTGCCTTCAATGATCACGAGAGCAGTAGATGTTCTAAGATTGCTTTATTACATACCTATCGATACCAGGACATTGCACAGCAAATACTGAATTAATCAATTTATGCAAAAAACGTAGGGCTGTGAAAAGGAACATGCCATGCAAACTAGATTAGGTTTGGAGCCCCAAGGGCAGAGAAAGAAGGCAGCCTTTCAGAAGTAGGCAGTAATTACAGAGCTGAATTCCGAAGGCAAAGAGGTGATCTAAAGTGAGCAGGTCTGGTAAAAAAAAAAAAAAAGGAAGACAGGTGCATCTTCAGATCCTCACAGCTTTCATTGCTACTCATCTGGGATCTGTTAGGCAAAGCAAACACTTCTCACATGCACAGCCAGTCATCTAATCCAGTAGCCCTGTCAGGGCACCTCACAGAGAAGAATGACTTATCACAGAGCCGTGGTGGAGATGAGGGGATGAGCACCTCTGTCACGTGTGGAATAAATGCCTGCCTCCATATCCTCCCCGTCCTTCCCCATCTCCCAATAACAATCTGGGAAGAGAGTTTGCAACCATTCTGCCAGAAAGGTGTGATGTGGTATTCTGGACTTCATTTCTAGACACCTTGATGCTTGGGGCAGAGTGGTTCTTAGAAACATTTAGGGTTTTAATTTCTGAATTGAAAGACAAACAAAAGCAAGCTGTTCCAAGGAGTGACAAGTTCTCTGCTTCTGTCCAAGAACAACCTTAGTCAATTCGTAAAGTAATGCAGCCACTCTCTGATTAGCGAGTGACCACAATCAACCAGCGCCCTCTTTCTCCACTGTGACATTTGTGTAATTGAATTACACCATGCAATTTGGAGCAAACACACCAACTTCCACCAAAATCATGGGAGACAGTAGAAGAGAACAGATCTGTACTGGCAAGGACTCTGTCCTATAAACCACTGTGCGTTCCTGTGAGTTTCACTGAGTGGGGAATATGTAAACAGTCACAGCGACTAGCATTAAGTGAGAGGTCACCATCCGCCAAGCACTTTCAGAGCACCTCACAAGCACCATGTTCTAACCCTCACACTGCTACATGAACCAGGGACCTTTTGTATCTCCATTTACAGAGAGCCAACTTAGTATGAAAAGTCAAAAGAGATTTATTCAAATCCATACAGATAATCACAGATTAGCTGGTCCAGAATCCATTGGAGTTGACACAGAAAGCCTTCTTTCGAAATCCGT